ACAACGTTTGCATGTTTTTCAATGGTCTCTGTATTCGCTTTCAATTTTGCGATAAGATTTTTCAGAGATGCTTTCTTACAAAGATCACCTATTTACATCATTAGCAGACTACGTACATGATGACTGATGAACACTTGCATGTAATGTGACCACGTCTACACTACCTATACCATTACATTTATACTTTCCGGAAGCCATTTGTACATCAAATCAAAACCGGAAAGTATTTGTGATGAATGTCTCAAGATCTGGTTCCCTTGCTTAACAGGTTTGTGGCTGCTGATACTGCTCATGATTCAGCGGCATGGCCACTGCTTTGCGGTGTTAGAGACAGACAATCCCTGATTCGAAACCCGTTGCCCCAGAAGGAGGCAAGGCATAGACCCATTATGGCCATTACAACCACAGAGCAAGCTGCTGGCACGGCTTGGCTGCTACCAAGGAACTGGCTTGCAAGAAGCCCGGCTAATGTGGAGCTTTGCATTCCTGTGCAAAGGGAGATCGTCCGGCTAACTTCTTCCTCTTGCCTGGTGAAAAAATTCAAGAACATAACCCAATAGATTTTCAAAGTTCTGAGGACTTTTGTAATAGTTGAAGAAATACAAAAAGAAGATAGATGATGCAGTTACCTTAAGCCCGGGATCTTGGAGAACCAATATCCCACAGCAAATGCTAATGCGTGGAATGTAATAACTGGAAGAATCAATCGAAGACCTTCTGCTGAAAGAATCTGACTTTGATTGATCGAAAGTGGGCTTCCAATGCACAATGAAGTGCATACCATAGCAACAAACGGCATCACAGGTCGAAGAAGAGAGACCAGAGGCTTTGCATAAGTATTTAACACAAGGCCAAGAGTGACTGGAACAAGCACTACCTACAGATGGTTAAGCATGTTGGACCTTAAGAGAGAACGATGATTGGTACTTGATGATCATATTCCTAAAACTTTGTTACCTGTAGTATGGACTTGGACATGGCAATTGCATCAACAGGAACAACCGATCCAATTAGAAGACCACTTAGCATTGGAGTAAAGAGTACAGATGCAATAGTAGTACAACTAGTGAGAAGAATGCTCATAGCAACATCTGCTTTGCTCAGAGAACTCGCGTAGCTAGATAATTGAGCCCCTGCCACACAACAAGTGAGTACAAACCCAGCATAGAAGCTCCTCGGCATCCCAAAGGCATTAGCAACTAAGACCCCAAGAAGCGGTTTCAGAGCATACTGAGCAATAAACCCAACAGACAACGGCACTGGTCTACAACAACAAAAAATGTTCTCAAGAGTATTAGGAATCTGCTTAACTAAACTGCTAAGGAAACTGGTAAAAGAGTGACCTTTTGAATGCAAGAGCGAAATCTTGAACTGAAAGCTGGATTCCAATGGATAGCATTATCCCTCCAAGAGCAGGAGCATACAGTTCCTTAGATACCCTGAAAACATTTAATCTGATATTCATCTTAAATCACATGTCTCTGAACAGCCAACGACGCAGTATAAAGCAGCTAATTTAAGCTGAAACTTTCGAATGCCACTGATTAAGCTAAAGAGAGAGTGTGTGAGTGCGAACCAGGTGAAAGTAGGTGGGTAGGAGAGAGCAGCTACGGCGGTGAGAGCGACGACGAATGGAAGCAAAGCGGATAGAACCTGAGACGAATCAGCTCTCTCCGAAGCTTCGGTTCCCCCACAGAAAGATAACAGAGACATGTTCCCATCTCTCCACTGCAATCCAACTCTCCCCATAAACGGCGTCGTTGAGCAAGCCAACGCACCATATGAACCGCCGCCGCTTCTCCGCCGCACTCTGAAATTTAGAGAGTAACTAAGCGGAGAAGAATTAATAGAAGAAAAGGATGGACGACGACGAGAATATCGCAATTGACTTTCGAAGCAACGCGATTTAGCGGGAAAGACAGACAGGCGATAAAGCAGGGTCTGTCTGGGTATAGCCGGTGGTGAGAAAGACAAAGAGGCGATTGAAGCCATTCCTTTAGATGTTGAAGGTGGCGGAGAATGAAGCGTCACCGTGAAATGAACCGGCGAGGAAGGGAAAATTGAGAGGGTGAGAGTCGGAGTGGAAGAAGAAAGGAACAAGCGATAATATAAATAAATCAAATTAACGGCTGTGATTGGTTCTCTCGTCTTTTGGGTGTATTATAGAGAGAAAAAGATTTAGCTGAATGATTTAACGGCTGAGATCGGTTCTCGTCGATATCAAGGCGTGATCGTCCAAGACTCTCTTGAGCTTCTTTGTTTTTTACTTACCATGAAAATTTAAATAAAAATGAACTCTTCGACCATGTTTGTTTGTCTTTTTAGATGCAGAATTTGGGAGAAAGGTTGTTGTTTGTTTGGTCACAGACTTCAAATTAATACAAGTTAAGTTTGGATGCAAAATTAATGTGCATACGGTATTTAATTTAAATCAAATACTAAAGAGTTTGGATACATGTCACATTTTTATATCAAAAGATTCAAAACCATAAATCTTATTAAAAATAACATTATCGTCCTCATGCGTTTAAATTATTGAAACAACATTTGGGTTAGAATCGTGTCAAATCGCAGGAATCAATGTATTTAACCGACTCACGATTTAATGTTAAAAATGTGAAATTCGGATTTGATACTAAGATTGCAATTGTCATTTGTAGATGAGAATGGTAATTTGACATTAGATAATACTGTATTTGACATTAGATAATACCGGAATAATTTGACATCGGTCGAATCGTCTCTAACAACAGGGCGCAGTTCATCTTCCCTTCTCGAGAGGCAATAGAATTGGTCTCACGCCGTGGCCCCTGGAGTTTTAATGAATGGATGGTGGCTTCGGGTGAATG